ATACCGTGGGAAAATAAACTTTGATCGAGTTTTAGCTGAAGATAACTATTTATTCAGCTTCTACAATTTTCTAAGTGGCTTCTTCGGTTTGTCTTTTTGTCATTTTTTTTTCTCATTCACTTTAGGCAATGACTTGAGTGTCATTACTGAAAGAACGGTAAACATTAATGTCAAATAAAAAAAAACGCAAAAATACAACAGTCCTATAATACATGTATTTCAAATCTAATAATGCTTAAAACTTTTGCTCTGTGTAAAAACAAAATATATGAGTTAACGCCCTTCTGGCTCAGTCTTCAGACGCTTTTTCTGTATTAACTTGTTTTGTCTTCTTTCCATAACGACAACATTGACATAAATGACGTAGTGGGATAATATAATTTTGCAATATCAGTTCAAAAGAGGATTTCCAAATTTACCATGAAGATAATTATCTATCCACACAACTTTGGGCATTATCTATTTTTTTTACCCGACTTGTTAATATTTTTGCCCATTTTGAAGTAATTGTTTTATATTTTTACCGTATTTGGATTATTCAAGTAGATGTTTTTTTTGTTAATGCCTCAAATTGGCTAAATACATAATTTACCACGTGCTGGGCAAAAAAAATTCACCTATTATTTTTAAGAGTGCAAGTGAAAATTTATTAGAGAACACATGCATGAATTTTCTTTTAACTCGAAAGATCGGATAATGCTATATTTCAAAGTGAAACTATCCAACTTTAGAGTAGTTTATGTGACTCCGAATCACATTCACATAGAGTGGAACTGAAACAGATACAGAGAGAGAGGTAGAATATGTGGGAGAGAGAGTGAGTGAGAGACAGAGAGACAGAGAGAAATAAGAAAGCTGGAAAAGAGAGAGAGAGAGAGAGAGATGAGAAAGGTGGAGAAGAGAGAGAGAGACAGAGAGACAGAGGAAAAAAGAAAACTGGAGAAGAGAGAGAGAGATATATATATATATATATATATAAAGAGAATGAGAAAGAGGGAGAGAGAGACGACAGAAAGGACAAGGGAGAAAACTATAAGATAAATATTGATATATTATCTCTCTTTCTTCCTTCAGAGGAGAGAGGGAAATGAGAGAGAGAGAGAGAGGGATAGAGAAAGGGAGAAAGGTAGAGATCGACCCTTGCAGCTTAAGAGCAATAACGCGTCAGTAATGCGACACAAATTCGGTAACAATATCAAAATCGTGTAAAGTTGTCATTTTTGTAATGAACCTGTGAGCTCCGAAACCTTTCAAGTCCTTTTCAAACAAAATGCAAGACCTGTCGCAAAAGGGAAATTTTTCATAAAGCATGGGAATTTAGCCCTTTAAAAACTCATTTTGACTCAGTGGAGTTTCAGTTGTGAAATTAGGCAGAAAATGCGCATTTGAGCGTAAAAACGGAAGCAATTCACAGAACCTGTTAAACATGCATTTGTACGGCTGCAGTTGTGCTATTTTTGTTCGTTCTTGTAACTCCTTTATGAACGAAAAATGCTAACCCCTAAAAGACCTAAAGAAAATGTGTATTTTAAAACAATTCTATAGTCAGCACGATCGAAGCTGTGGAGGAACTACCTTTAAAATCAAAATCTGGTTCTCTATAAGAGGTCACTTCATGCTGATTTTCTTCTTTTCATTTGTATAATCTTTGGACTTTGTAATAACTTTTGAATGATATATAACGATGAACTTTGCAAAACTATTATAGTTTATACAGTGCTATGTCTTCCTTCATAATAACAAATAGTTTTTAAATGCGTTATTTTACTAATTCTCTTTCAGTTTTTTTAATTAGATTCTAAAGACCTACCAGAAACTATCTTAAGATAAAAAGTGGTCCATATCGAAAACCCAAGAACTGCTAGTGGTAGAGCAGTGGTCTCGTAATCGGGAGGTCCCGTGTTTGAATCCAAGTTGATGCACCGGTGCCCTAATTAATCGTGCTGCGCCTAGAAACAAAGTATAAGGCGCATTATAAATGTGAGCTATTATTACTTATTATTATTACAAGTCCCTCTGAGAGGACTTGAAGCCGTTGGTCCCCTGGTTGCTTACTTACTTGCTTTTCTTAGCAGTGATATGTATAATTAAAAAAATGAACAATTCAATTACCCTGAATCGCAAAAACAAAAGGTTAACAGCTAGGGTATACAAAGTGAAAGGTGTTTTAGCCTGTTGATAAGGTGACTTGGACAGCTGACCCAAGCCAAATTTACCAGGGGCCATAGCCTCTTACCCCTGGGCCTGAAACAGGGTTACCCCTTTTACATGTCTTTAGGGGGTAGAAGCCTGCCTGGGTGTCATCCCCTTATTATAGGGACCCTGGTCAGCTAAACAGAGTTTCTCCTCCCCAGTGTAGAGGGTTTTAAGGTTCCTGGGGAAAATCACTTCTGGTATTTTCTCCTCTAACATTTTCACCTCTGGCATATTCACCTCTGACATCTGATCTGTTTTTTTTCCCTCTAACTTTTTACCTCTGACATTGTTACACCAAACCGGTTTTTAAATTCATCAAGTTAGTATTTTCTTTCCACGCAGTCATCTGTAAAGACCCGGACAACTCCTCTATCAAGACATAGTATCAGAAGGGTATCAATTCGATGGGAATTGATGTGAGTTAACGTTCTGGCTTTCAGCAGACGAACCACATATCTATTTCAACGAAAAATCAGATCACTTTTCCAGATAACTCATCCATCCCGCATTCATCTCTCTTAATCTAAATACGCATTTTTCGATATTCTGCAAATTCTGTCGACATTATGACATGATGTCTACGGACAGACCTGGGATGAAAAGAAGACAGTACAATGTATATCACCTCGATTCGTTTCGCAGCAACAAAGAAGTCTCCGTCCTTTAATATCACCTTTCCTTTGTTGCCTCGATCCATCCCAGAATGTTTTGACAACCTGTTTAGATGGACAGCCAAATTGTGAAAAGGAGATAATAAAAGCATTTGACAATTAAACCTCATGTTTGTGCAACTGGTCTTGAAAGATCCATCTACGTGTTCAATTCTTGGAGAAGAAACAATCTGGGCAACTTTTCTTGTAAACTTAACTGTCATAAGGGCGAGTTGATTCTTGAACTTTGTTAAGGAGTCCAAGGTGATACAAGTGCCAACATCAAAACAACTAAATAGCTACCCCTTGTTTTTATCTTATACAATTTTAACTACCATCCTTATCCCTTAAAATTATGCGTTCTTAAACATGTCAACTCTAAAGAGAAAAAACGATAAATCATCTGCTATTTACTTGTGCCCAGGCGCAAAAAATGGACATTATAATTCCATATACTCGGAATATAATTGTTTAATATTATCTAAGAATGCATTCCCTATTTCCATTTTAATCTGCTGTAAGTGTGTTCTAATTTATAGCATTTTCTCTTCTACTTTGTTAAGCTGATCAGCTCTTCAGGATACTTAGGCTTAACACTTTGCAATTGAAAGTGTGATATGAATTGATGATCTATGCAAGTCATTTTCTTGATAAAGAAGTGATTGATGCAAGAGATCTGAAATGACAATGACAATGCAGTTCCTTTGTCGATGCAAAACAGACATGACAGATGGCTTTATGAAAACATAACTTTAAAAAGTATATTTTCTTTATAAACTAATTGGAGAAAATTCTCTCTCTCTCTCTCTCTCTCTCTCTCTCTCTCTCTCTCTCTCTCTCTCTCTCTCTCTCTCTCCCTCCCTCTCTCTCTCTCTCCTTTCTCTCTCTGTATTTTTCTCTCTTTCCTTTTTATCTTTCTCTGCCCCGTTTTATGTTTATATGTTGTTTGATGATAAGGAAGCATGTACTCTTATAAGTAAGCAACGTTGGGACCAACGGCTTTGAGTCCTCTCTGAGGGACTTGATAATGAGGAGTAAGCCTAGTACCTTACCAAAGGGCGCGAGCGCATTGACTTTGCTTCGAACCCGGGAACTTTTCTAACTTTTCTAAAGACACTGATATGCGCATCATAAACAAAACTGTCTGGCCCCCAAACACTTTTGTAAGGACAAATTTTGTTTAAAGTAACAAGTATATAATACTTTTGAAAACTTAGATGTGACAAGTGTATTTTTCGCGAGCTGTTTTTCCGGGACACTTCGCCATTGTCTCGGTTGTTTGCCGAACAAACTCGGGTCGTGCGCTCGGCTCGCGTACCACTCGCGATTGGCTCGCGAATCACCCGCGACACCAGCCTGAACTCGATTCTGATTGGTCAATGCTTTCGACCACTCCCCTCTGTGTGCCAAGAACTCTTGTGAAAAGATTCTAAAATAACAAATCAAGTTTCGATATGTCTCCATGGCTGTTACTTTTGACTATTATCTGTTGAGAAAATAGGTGTTCTTTGTTTGCTTCAACTATACTTAAGGCGGGGACATTTCGGTCAAGTTCTCAGAGTAAGCCAAGACAGTTCTGGGACGGGCAAACATTCTGCGAAGTATTCCAAAAGAAGACTTTCTAGGACGTGATTTGTCATAGTTGTATCTGCTACCGTTCAAGCAAATAATACTTTGGAGTTTTTATCAAAAGTTGCTTTCTTTTACAAAGTTAACACAAAATGAGGGATCCTAGTTTTATCAGAGGTATGTTTTAGTTATTTGTTGTTAAAACGATCAAGGTAATAAATCTGGTACTTTTTTGGGTGGTTGTGCAGTTTTTTTTAAACGGTTTGTGACTGACGAATATGATATTGACAGGCATTATTTGGAACACTTTTTGTATTTTATTTGTGATAAGCAAGTAAAGTTATTTGTTCATTGTGTATGCATATAGCCAACAAACCCATTAAGAATATGCATGAACTTCGTGCAACACATGTATCAATATGCTGGTTGATATTTTTTTAAATATAGAATACTATTTCTACAAACGATTTATTTTTGCTTTGTTCAGTTGATATGAAAAATATAGTACACTGTAATTGAATTCGAATAATGTTTTTTTATTATCTAATTCATCATAAAATACAAATGATTTCGAAATCATCAGGTATGGTTTTCGTCATAACTATTCAAATCGTCTGTATACTTTCCCTGTTATACCATATTTTAATCTTTCACATTTTCTGTCTTTTTATTTATTTATTTTTATCTACAGGTGATCGTCTTCTCGACATTCCGTGTAAAGTATGCGGTGACCGTAGCTCGGGGAAGCACTACGGTGTTTACGCCTGCGATGGGTGCAGTGGTTTCTTCAAGCGAAGCATCCACAGAGGCCGAGTCTACGTCTGCAAGCAACAAGGGAAAGGAGGAGGAGATTGCCCCATAGACAAGACCCATCGCAACCAATGCCGGGCATGCAGGCTTAGGAAATGCTTCGAAGCCCAGATGAACAAGGATGGTGAGAGCACTTTTCAATTTCCGTTTTGGTGTTGCATTGTGCTGGTGCTGTTATACTGTAATATGGTGTTGGTACAAAGATGAGAGGTGAAGTTCTTGATGTTGATGTTAGTGTTGGTGTAAATGTATAAGACCTTGGTGTTGGTGTTAATTTTGTTGTAAAGGTATATGCTAAGTTCTAGGTGTTGGTGTTAGCGTTGGCAGGTGTAAATGTATAATTTCTTGGTGTTGGTGTAAGTATTGGTGGAAATGTAAATGTTCTTGGTGTTGGTGTTGATGCAAATGTATGCGTTCTTGGTGATGATCTTCATCTTAGTGTTGGTGAACATCTGTTTTGTGCAAGTATGTTGTGCTGCTGTTGATGTTGTTGATGTGTTCATCTTCGTGCGATTTTTTAACGGTTCAATGAAGAATTAATGTAAGTGTAAAACAGAACAGGCATTACTGCCATAATTTTGAACCGGTTTTGATGTCCTTTTTAAAATTATGTTGTTTGCGCCGTTTCAATGTAAAAAAAACTATAAAAGATAACCGCTATAATTTTGTTTCATGCTTTTGTATACATTTGTGTTAAATGAGATTTGCCTGAGAGTGTTCGAAAACATGCATAAAATCTTAAGGCATTCTGGACAAACTGCTTCATATTTAATTTTAGTAATACATTTTAAACTAAGATAATCGCTTGTCACGTGAAGTGCAAAAATCAAGTGATGATGCGCTTATAATCCTAAAAACGCTTTTATTCAAGTCAATCAACACTAATTGCTCTACATTTTGTCACGAATAAATGTGACACGATTGATTGGGGGAGAAAGAGAAGGAGGAATGTCGATAAAGAGACGTACGAACGGACGAAGACGCGTGTGCGCTCATTTTGTCTAATTGTTTGTTTAGACAATATTGGAAGTCTTTTACGCATTCACGCAGTATTTACCGCACTCACCAAATTATGATAGCCTAACAAAACCACGAGAAATTTCTTTCAATTATTATTTCCGCAAATAGAAGATTGAAAACGCTTTTCTGAAGGGGAACCGCACGCTCAGACCCCGTTGCACAAATACAATCGCTGGCATGGATTTCTTTTCCTTGTACTTGAGAAGAGACAAGAATGAAAGGAAATCATTAAAAATCTGATGAAGGTTGATGCAGTGATTTATGGCTACAAAATGTCACCGGAATTTTTTTGTGTGTGGATGGTTTCTATAATGATATCTTATGTGATTTAAGTTTGAGATTTTCATGCATAAATTTGCAAGTTGTCATAGGATGTGGATTATGCAGTATAAAGTGTGTTAATTCAGTTTTTCCTACTACACAATCACTATTCATATGAACGCGAGGAATATTTTCTTACATCTTTTATGCTTTGTGGAAATATACTACTACTACTACATAATTATGTAATACTACTACTAACAATAATAATATCAACAATAATGATTATAATAATAATAGTAATGATAATAATAATAATGATAATAACAATAATCTTTAGGTGATAACAATAATTATAATGTAATATATAATAATGATAATGATGATAATAATAAATAACTATACTAATAGCAATATTGATGACATTAATTCATATTCATATCTCGATATGAACGAGGCGTCTTTCATCATGATTTATAAATCAATAGTTTGATAGTTCGATGAACAGTAAACATCAGGCCGTAAAGCACATACTTTCCAATCACCCCTCTCCTTGTTTTAATAATGAGGTTCAATTTCTATGACAGGATTGACCCTGTTCATATAGCATGCAACGTACACTTCTGGAAACTCTTTGCTTCAGCGAATGGTTGGTCGTCAGCACTACAACTCTGTCCAAAAAGACATCCTTTCGACGAGGCAGACGTAAAAGGGTTTGACATTTTCATTCCTCAAGAAGTCGATGACAGATGTATGTCTGTTATAACATCTTCAAGCGGATGCCCTTCGCATCCTATCTTCTCGTTGCGCGCCAAACACAAATAAGTCAATACCATGCGATCGTCTGCAAACGAAAATGCACGAGACGGCGCAAGTCTTCGGTCGCACTTTACTTGGGCCGCTTTTCGGCTCACGCTTTGCTTTCATTGCTCAAAGTTGCTCCTAAAATAAGACAGGAACGGGATAAAAGGAATACTTTTGGATAATAGCTCTATCCTCGAGATTGAGCGAAGCTTGTTGATTTGCCCTCGGGCTAAAAAGGCGACGCTAGAGGCTTCACCAATAGATGGCTTTTATTAGAGTTTTATTGAAAGGATGCAGAGTTTATCTTTCGGCCGCTGTGTTATCTCATGGCATTGAAATTGAGTCTTTAAGATTCTTTTCATGTGTCATCTGCGCATGTACTAGGACTTCATTTCCTCGCGTTCTTTGTACTTTAGACTGGTCCTACACTGAAAAGTGCAGATTTTCTTTTATTTTCTATGTCTAAATGTAATTCGATAGTCTAGCTGGAAAAGTAAAAGATATACAGTTTTACACTGATTCTTCTTCAAAGATGATATTTACATCTCAAATTTGACATTTTCAAATAAATATGTTTCCTTGCATTCATATACATTTTTATTTTATAGTGTCCGCTCAAATACAGTATTCTTTGAAAAGTGATTTCTTCGTTTGCGGTGCTGCATTTTCTGTACGTGATAGTTTCTCTGGGCTTGGTGATACAAATTTAGATATTTTGATCGATATTATGTGCGATATAATAAGGAATTAGAAGTACACCTACATGCATATAGGTCATTATTATTTCAGTATAAATTGTTGCTTTGTTGAGTAGGTCAAACCATGGTCAAACTCTAAAGTCCTAGACTAGATTTACGAATTTGTGTTACGGCCATGTGTACGTGAGTGAAGTTGTGATTTCCTCGCTCATAAAGAGTCTGTCCGGGGGGGGGGGGCGTTTCACAAAGCACTTGTCGCTGCGACAAGTGCTTTGTGAAACGCCCCTGGTCTAACGGCAGGGACATACTCTCAGTCTAGAATTGTGTATATGATATCAAAGTACAGATGAATTTCATTGTGTTCTTGTATGCCCGACCTTTGATAACATTCGTTAGCAGCATGTTAAGAGACATTATTACAGTAGACCTAAATAGCATTATCAAATCGTATCAGTTATTCAATATATTATATTAAACAGTTAAATAATATTTCTTAATTTGGTAAAATCATTACGTCGGAGTTTGAATAAAATAGTTTTCTTTTTTCTCTCAAAGCATTAGACCCGAGGAATATAATACATGTACAGGTACATATTTATTTACTGCTATTCTTTTGGTTGTATTTTTGTAGCGTAGTATACGTGCTTTTAGCACTGACAATATCTTATACAGAGTTTATAGTTTTACTTAAGTTTTTGTTGTTTTTGTTGTCGAAATCTTGCCTTCAATTTATTGTGTGTTGAGTTAATTATCTAAATATAAACCAGCTGACATAACCGGCTAAAGATATTTATATAATTTGCAGGGCACTAGGAGGAGGAAAACAAATCAACCCACCTTCTCAAATACCTCCACGTTCTTGCCGTCTAACATTTTTTCTACATTAATAGTATAATGCAGGGGAAAAGGCTACAATCGGGGGAGGGGGGGGGGGGGGGGGTGCTCCCTAGTGAATTTGACGTTCTTATTTTTGGCTTGTTTAAAAGATTATGGTGTTATCAATCGCCTGCATGGAAAGCCACAACGGGAAAGTGACCGGGAGAAATTCGTCAGCTTCACGATGGTCCTTCACGCATGATGAGAGCCACCTTGCCCAGATTGAACGTCAACGTTCTACATAAACCATCTCTAGACACCCAACGATTAACTTCATGTCAACGATCTTAATTTCTCTCTAAAAAAAATAATTGGATCTTGTAGGAGAGAGGAAAATTACCTCTTTAACCTGGAATGTTGTTAGAGAAATACAGAGAAATATGAAAGGCATTTAGAAGGAACAAGAAGGATAGACAGTGGTGGATTAAATAAAGTGATGATTTATGAGAAAGGAGCCTAGAGTTAGGGAGGGGGGGGGGGGGGGAGGTTGATGAGAGCAATTTTAGAGGAGACAAATAACATTTAAACCAGACTGAACCATTTTAATTTTGACATTATACATTGTTATCATATAAATTGTTTCACGCAATCAATGTCTCATTAATGTTCCATTAAATCAATGTAGATTCACAACAGTAATTTGCAAATGCAAATTTGGCAGAAATTCGCTGAGGAATAAAATCGGCCTCACTGAAAAGTTGACTGCATCTTCATTCAAGGAAACTACCCGTTCATAAACTTCTATAAACAGGAAAAGCCTAATAATGTGATGAAATACAAATGAAAAAGAGCATTGGCACCTTTTAGCATGTCTAGCGGTTAATATAGTGTGACTTCGTACTTTTCCAACCTGCCCCCAAAGCCCGCCACGAAGTAACGGCGTGCTATCCCCGAGGGTTCGTGTTAGCGCGTTGGCGTTGGTGTCGGGCTAGCAGCTAACGAAGTGATGGAGCGTTTTGTTAATATGGTGATAAAAACAAGATATTGCTCCCGTGTGTGCTGATGTTGATTTCATCTGTAATTATCCGGGCATCATCCTGATGACTTGATCGAGGGTGGGAATGAGAGGGGCGGGATTGGGGGGGGGGGGGGGGGTAGCATCTTTATAATATTTGCATTGAATACCATACTCTCTATTATGTACAGGAATGGAGGGGTGGGGATGGAATCTGACAAATAAAATCTTTTATTTGCTTAAGGATTAGATTTTGTTCTGATAACATAATATAATTATCGGTATAGGCCAAATAAAACTCTTTCTTTTTTAACGGAACTCCATTTTAATCTGTCATCTTTTGCATCAAATTATTAATATTATATTGAATAATCTCATAAGGGACTGAGTGAACCAAAAGAAAAACATTTACGGGTTTAAATTCAGTTTCTAAGAATCTTCACAATCTTTAAGCTTTCGGTTAAGCCACTTGAGCGTGTCTGCAATTAAGAAAAAAATGACAACATTATTCAAAATTTTGTAGCTTATCCATCAAAAAGTATATTTATCTTTGGGTAACATTTAAATGTTAATCGGGAGTGACGAAACGCCACTTCAGATTCTGGCGGTGCTTGAAATTTTTGAAGATCGTTCTCGATCGCATCCTACTCGGAGGCGTCGAGTAGAAGTAACACCATTTCGCTAGATTTCGAGAGGATATCAAGACATTAAAATGTCACTCTGACGACTGGCTGGTTGCTAGGTGACTCTGAACATTTATTGTTGATTATGAAGATGTCTTTTGCAGGTATGATAGCACGAGAAAATGAAAGTATATCATTTTGTTGCATACACATCTGTGCTCACGAGCTCCATTTTGTAATTACTATAAAATAATGCACTTCCCACGCAGACTAGTTGTAAAAACTGTGTTTTATGATGGTGCATTGTGTATGATATTACATTTTTATTGTAATGTCATAATGGATGACATTACTTTTGATCTGGATCTGGAGATTTATAGCTGGCAGTCCGCGATTTGACCTCTTTGATTTGAGTGGTTGCTTTCCGTGACAGATAGAAAATGTGAAGGAGATTCTCGTTGATCTTGCACGAGCCACTCACGGAAACAATATACTCTTAGAGATGTACTTGCTTAAACGTTTAACGACAATGATACTGATTGCAGTCTGTTGTCCGTCATTTTTTACGGTAATAACTCATTGACAAAGACTGCTCAGGAGGAATATTTAATTGATCCTTTGTTTCTCCATTAGCAAAATAAAATCCCATTAATGTCCAAGGTAGTCTCTATTTAAAGAAGAAGAAAAATTGAGGAATAAACAATGGAATAAGATATACCCTGACTGACTATAATAGTGCCCAAAATGAGCGTTTATATATTTGAGATTATTTTGTGATAGATTAATAAGGCTTTCTTGAAGCATAATGAAAATCACTGTAAGGTCTTTTGACGAGACGAGATCAAAATTCTTCTTTTTTGGAGCAATAATTAATTAGTGTGAGCAAATTGATTACCCTTATGTATGTATGTCTCTCTCCGTCTCTCTTTCTCTCTCTCTCTTTCTCTCTCTCTCTCTCTCTCTTTCTCTTTGTCTTTTTTGCTTCCCATGTCTATTGTGATGAAATTGCACGTTAACGAATTAATCTCATGCTAGATCTTTGTTTTTGCAACATTTGTATTGCTTCAATACAACAATAAAACATTATGACACCAATACAAAATAGGGTTCTATATTATGGCAATCAATAATTGCAGAACTAAATTTATATTATAGCAATTCAATTTAAATTACGTCAGGAAAAAACCCGAGTCATACATACGTAATGTATGGACGTCATGCCTCTCATGCGTTCAAAATAAGTATGAGTGACCACTTTTAAAAGTTTCAACCAAGCTTTTAAAAATGTTTGACAACTATAATTCAAGCCACTACTTTAGAGATGATTCCCTAATAATTGTGTCTCCAGAAAGAGTGGATTTGCTCAGTATCGCAATTTGGTCTTTGACAGCTGCGCTTGTTTTGACAAAATTATGATACTCCTAAAATATGACACCTTTTATAAACGCCCATTGTCAAAGTGCCAAATGTTACATTTTCCCACGTTCTACCTTTAGCCATGAAAAAGCTGAAATTAGCCAACTAAGCACCTGCAACAGGCGATTTCTTTTCCTTCTGTGCATGTCTGTTGTTGTTTTAACAGATAGGTCTTTACGACAACAAGGTTACTTACTCGTCTTCCTATTGTGTTTGAGTTGTCAATCAAAGTAGAAAAACTGTGCAATGGCTTTGATAGCAGCCTACAAATCACGATGGAAAAACAGCTTTCTGAAATCCTCTTATAGAAATAAAATCTGATCGTCCATGAGTTTCAAAGTTGTGTGTCTTTGTTATTTTCTATCTTTAGTTTAGTATTATGTTTAATTCAGAGGGTACATGTATTATTATTAGTGATATACAAAGCATTTTCTTTTCTTCTTTTTTTATTGTAAAAAGAATTTATAAGCTTATTTTGATTAGCGTTCTGCTGTATACTGGAAACGAAAACAAAATTTACGAATTTATTTTTCACTTGCAACTGATTTAACTTCTGGATGATGTAATTTGTATTTACTTTGTTTTGATTTGTACTACTTCTGTTTGTAGAAATAATACGTTTCATAAAACAAAAAACAGTGTAATCTTACCAAAAAAATACGAAGTGTTTCTGGTGATGTTTTTTTTTTCTTCGTGTTTTTGTGTGTTTGTGTTTGGCCATTGTAGGCCTCTTTAACTTTTCATATTAGCTATTTGTAGGCCTAATAAAACAGAAAATGTTCTGCTTTTCAAAAAGTATGTTCCTTTTACTTTTGTTTGATATCAAATAGTGATATTTACAACACCCTTAGAATATTGCTACACAAAAGATCTTAATGTTACATCTTTTTTTAAATCATGAAAACTATAATCTGTACCAATGTTAGATCTCTGAGAGTATTTTTGTTTGTCAAATTATTCTTCCATGATCTAATGACAATCAGTCATTCTTTTTTCATTTCTTTTTTTGCATCTCTATTCCCCCTCTCATATTCTTCATATTATTGTGCCTTTACCAAACGAAAGTTGGGATTCTTGAATATAAATGCTGGCCAGAAATTAAATAAGCAATATGTTGTGATGCACAAGAATATACAATTTAAATTAATTCTCGTTCTCTCTTTATTTATCAGCTGTGCAACACGAACGTGGTCCACGCAAGCCAAAGAACAAGCCTATGGTTTCGATAGATGCCCGATCGACAGGAACTCCTGGTACAATTCGATCCCAGACCCCAACCAGTACCACATCGCTAAGCCCCTTGCCCCGTCATACCGGGCACTCAATCTTGCCCTTAACCATACCGCACCGCCCCCTAACCGGGGACAAGTCCTCGCTTACAGGTGCCTCAGCCCCGCTGCCTCCCCCGTCGAGTGGCTTCATATCTACGTCTGTTTACTACGGAACGTTCTACCATAGCTTACTCACCGCAGAGCACTACAACATCAACCCGCTCGCGCTGGACGCCGTACGGCAGGATGACGGCGGCGAGGTGGGTCGAGTGAAGGGGCTTGGAACGACATCTCCAGATAATTTGCTCGAAGTGACGGCGAGGCTTCTTTTTACCTCTGTGAAGTGGGCGAAAAACATCACCTGTTTTCGATTGCTGCCATTCAGAGATCAGGTTAGTGGAGTATCCATAAATTAATAATTAATGAGTATTTTTGCACGACAACCCCCCCCCCCCCCACAGTAAAACATATCATATGCACTGGTGGATTTTGGTGCCCCTCTTCGAAACCCATGCAAGTGGGCTATCCTTAGCAAACAGATCAATGTGTTACCTAACTCCATTTAGGTGGGGAAACTTGCCAGCATTTTCTAAAAGCAATATATCAATGCCCTTTCAAAAACATCATCTGCCACAATCTGAAGTAGACGAAAAAAGTACCCTTTTCCACCACCACCCCCCCCCCTCGGCCTCCACCCTCCAAGGCCAGATAATCCCGAATTCACCATTGTTTCTAGCTCTGTTATTCAAATAAACAAAATAGTAATTAGGAAAAAATGTAAATGACACAAACGCATTTTTAAAAAAGTATTTATTAAGCATATATTCATGTATTAAGTCTTTTTTTTATTTGTAGGTTTATTTATTCATAAAGTCATACATTCATTTATCTATCTATCTATCCGTTCATATATTTATTTATATGTTTATTTGTTTATTTTTTATATGTTTATTTGTTTATTTATCTCTGCGTTCATTTATTCCTCACAGCTTATCCTTCTTGAAGAAACCTGGAGAGACTTGTTCCTGATGGGGATGTGTCAGTGGGCGGTCCCTCTCGAATCAGACGCCCTCCTTAAATCCTTAGCGGTGAGCATGAGTGTGAAGGGAGTCAAGACTTCAGCCGAAACTACGGCAGAGCTCGCAGCGCAGGTCCGATACATGAAGGAGACGGTTGCTAAGCTACGGGCGATGAAAGTCGACTTCACCGAGTTCGCGTGCCTGAAGGCTATAGCATTGTTCAAATCAGGTACGTCAATCGCCATTGCGTAGTTTTATTCAATTGGGGTAGGGGCGCGAAGGGGCACGTGTCTTCCTCTCGCCTACCCACATCATCGAAAGGGGGTATACAAGCCTATAGCTGGAAAGGAGAAACGGAGATGTAAAAAGAAGATACGACCTCCTCTTATTTACGAGCAGCCTAATCAATTGATGTTTTTCTTTAAAGATTTTTTATTCGTTCATCCCTTTGGATCCTTATTGCAATTTGGCACTGATTTCCTCAGACAATTTCTACCAAGTGTGACTAAGCGTTTCCTCTAAATCAAAATGCTTTATTACAAAGTCGAACACGCTTTAGCGACCACCTACATAAAAACCACCTGTCTACCGTATAAAGATTGCATCTTACTTTTCCTTTGAATATGGTTTTTCATTGAAACTAAAGGAACCTGTACATAAAGACCACCAGCCTATAAAGACCACTTTTCATGTTTTTCGGGTTTCATTGTATTCGTACTATATTTTGTTCAGTGGATGTCATTAATTTGTTATCATTTTCTAATATTATATTATTTGTCATTGTAGCAAATCATATATCATTTCATTATCAATCTTTCATTTTTCTTCTTCTTTCGTTAAACAGAGACCCGTGGTCTGAGCGAGCCCCATCGCGTCGAGTCTCTCCAAGACCAAGCCCAGGTCATGCTCGGGGACTACGTACGGTACGCTCACCTCTCCCAACCCCCACGGTTCGGCCGACTTCTCCTCATGCTCTCTGCTCTTCGGGCCGTCAGCAGCAAGTTTTTAGAGAAGCTCTTTTTCAAGCAAATCATCGGAGAGATACCGATCGAAAGATTGCTCAGTGACATGTTCCAGACTTGTTAGATGAATTACCACGATTACTTAAAAAAAAACAACATTACATTAAATTCGAACTATTTTTTTTGCAGGTTGTTTTGTTTAATTGATTCAAATAAAACTTAAATAAACTAAATGACTAAACGATTTGCACATCAATTTAGCCAGATGCATCAAATATAGCTTGGGTGGGGCACCCCAACAAATAATTCGAAATTTCAAAATTCAAGTTTTGTACAATTGCTATTCATTCGTCTGCCTCCACAGCCCCCCCCCCTCCATCCTACCCATCCCGAAAATGGATCTTATCTTGTTTAACAATACCTGTCACTATGACACTCATCCAAACTCTCTCATTCTTTCTTGTGCGCCTCGGAATAGAATTGTCTAGATGGACAGCGCTATATAAATGCCTATTATTATTATTATTATTAAATAGTATTTTGTTGACATATACATTCCCATGTTCAGAGCAGTATTAATGTATTTATTTTTGAAAAGGTCATCTAAAGAACTTGTGAATATAACTGGTCCTAATACCATTATGATATCGTACGCATTAATGGATACAAAAGAGGGCTTTTGGGCGTGTGTTTATAGCCGAGCACTGTCCCCTTTTGCACATAATAGAGTGAGCAGAAGGCTCATTATTATGTGTATATAAAATTGTAAATATGTACAGGAATTTTAACTTATCCTTTTCAACATTCCAGGTCTAATTTACTTGTAAATTATTTATTTTGTATAAAGAAGTTCAAACTTTAGTGTAAACTTTAGAGGACTGTAACATAAACTGTTGTTAAAATATTTGAAGCGAAAGTGTAAAATAATGAAATTATTTTCAGCATTGCGCGAAAAATTGTAAAAGTTTAGAAGTAGTATATACGTGTACTTAATTTAATTAAATTCATGATTATGTTTTTCTTAAACAATTTTACCCCAAATCCTATTGTCATGATAGGACAGGATTATGATCATCACCGATGTATTAATTTGAGTAGATTAGAAAAACTTGAATAGCCAGTATTCTTTCAAAAGTGACTACATACACTAATATCCAGTATTAGAACCAGAAAAAAACACGACCATAGTCAGTTTTGATTTCTCTCTTTCTCTCTCCCCCCTCTCTCTCTCTCTCCCTTCATTTCTGTCTTTCTTTCTCTAAACGATTAGATAATATAATGAAATAATTCGCGTTCAAAAATAGGATACTCATTCTTGAAAGCAGTCATCTGTAGTTATTCATATTCAAGCCGTTTATGAGAATTTGCTCAAAGTAACATCATTTTAACAGTATTATTAGTTTAATTGATAGATGCGGTTTTTAACAATAATTGCTACGCAGTATATTTCTTTTTGATTAATCATTTTTGTAGATTATCTAGGTTTCAACTCGAAGTAGTGCCCTCGTGCAAAATAAAGGGTTTCATTAATACGTAACTTTACAGTTTACACTATAGCTATTACATTCCATTATTTTCTATTTATGTCCATAATATCAGTTATTATTTCGCCGATCCCTCAGGATTACGCATCATAATTCAATTTTGCCACTTTTGTGTCGAAATGTTTTACTCTATGAAGAATATTCATAATAAAATGTGCATTGAATGAAAACGAATAGTTACACACTTGCATGTAGGTATATATTTTATTTGTTTGATGATACATGGCGGCATAAGAGGGAAAGATCAAGATAGTGAGAGGGGGAGAAGGGAGTGGTGAGAAAGAGAGAGAAAAAAAGGAGAAGGGGAGGGGAGGAGGTGTTGAGAGGGAGAGATACAGAGAGAGAGAGAGAGGGGGAGAGAGAGAGAGATAGAGAGAGAGAGAAAGAGAGAGAGGGGAGAAAGAGCGAGAGAGAGAGAGAGAGAGAGAGAGATGGAGGGGAGAGGGAGGAGAAAATGGGAAAAGACAAGGGGTGTATAGAGAAGGCGGGGATGACCAAGACGAAGCATACGGGTCAGTTGGGAGTAAAATACAACTGGATGAGCGAAAGAAAAAGAAGAAAGTCGAGATAGGTTTAATGAATGTAAAGGCAGCCGGAATAAGTTATAGTATTGTGACGGACACGGTTTGCCACCTTGCTCGACACGGAATATTTGTCAGGATGCCCCGTGTCTGTTTAGGCGCTCTCCGTCCGTTTGGACAAAGTATATGCCCATAGCTTGATGGCTCGAGTTATTCACTGCTCACAGGCTAGGCGTATCTCAACAATCATGCAGCATCCATCGACTGCAATCGGCCACCCCAAACGTCTTGAGCACATCATCAATCAATTGAACATCCCTCGGGCAATCAATCATGCTTTGTCAACACCTGTCACTGATTCTCATCCCTTGCTTTGTCTAACTACGGTTTCACGATCACTGCTCTAAGAAATGAGACCAATCATGCCGAATTCTTTAATAATGCGAACCAACCATGTACCAACCAAAATTCGGGGTATACTCAGAAACAAGTGCAGACTATGTAAAACTCAACTAAAGGCCAGCGCCAGCCTCGGTGAGGCTGGCCTGTATCGGATACAGTGCAGTGGAAATTCCTAATTACACAATCCTGGGCGCCCAACATTTTCCATATACTTAAATGTATAAAAGGGTATAAATAGCGCCCTCATTTAAGGTCGGAGGTATAACAAACTATACATTTTTGGAATCCTTATGACCTGACGAGTAATTTGATATGCATATTGACACGATTGGAACTATTTGAATTTTTATTCCTGTGTGACCTTTGTTGACCCCTCACGAAAATGCCTTGGATTTTCAAGGGGGCAGCCCAAGTCAAAATTGTTCGGTATTCATCAGGGAACACAAAAACACTTTCAAACCTTTGTTCCCAGAGATTGGTCACGGGACCTACAGGCTGGTCTCCTACTATGGAAGAAGTTAGTTCTTATATAAAATCTGTACAAGAATAAACATCACGATAATTATGTATCCATACCACGATGGGGAAGGACGAATCGGTGGTGAAACGAGACAGACAAGCCTCATCAGAGAACCACATTTCTAGGAAACCAACTTTGAGTCCTGAAAGATCAGAGTAATCCTGACTGCTTCCACTTTGGGCGTAGAGGGCGACCTTTCCCTTCTGGGAGAATGGTCGTGTGAAGTCGAAGGTTAGAAGACGATCATAGGTTTGGACCCATCCTAAGTTATAATGGAATGTAATAATATACATTTTGATTGTGCAGAAAGGAGTGTTCATTGTTAGTGCATAAAATCTAACATACCCAAATCCTCCTCTTAAAACGATGGTTCAACATAATGTACGATATTTGAAAATTATGATTGTTACCAATATGAAAATTAGTCGTAATGTTGTGTTTGAAAATGTATTTTAACCAAACTACCTGGAATTATCAATCTTGATTTTCACAACATTTGGGCTTTAAAACTGAAACGACATTTCTATTACCCATGATATAACTTTAAAACAAAACAACAACAAAATGATCACATTAGGCGTTTGATAATTGGACGGCAAACGTTTTTCATACGTCATTAACTTGTGTTTTGCTTTATAGTCTGTTATTGCCTTAAAGTTTCCAAGTTTCCTTTTCCCATTAGAGCTATTTGTAAATATATTTTGACTGCAATGCGTACCTTTATATAATGAAGGTTATTTGGGTAATTTTGCTAATCTTTTGCAAAAATTAATGAACTCAAGCATTTCAGAAGATATAAAACATAAACAATCATTAATGAGTATTGATTCTTACCTGTGCATGCGGTCTACCGTTTGGCCATCAGACCGACTCCGCCGTGGGCTCTCTCTTTTGATCGGCTGTCCCAACAGTTACTGTACAAATCCCATACCAACTCAAAGTTCTTGTTGGCTATATCACAAACTGAAAGTAAAACAGAAATGTCCATACTTTATATTATTATTTGATAATGGAATTATTCATTTCTATTTAATTTATTTATATATTATAGTACCCTTTTCCCCGCCACCCCCCCCCCCCACTCAGTGTTAGTTAGGGTACGCATATTATGCTTGTTCCCTCTTTTTGAATGCACCCCCTATCTGAGGACTGCCAACATTTCCGAACCCCCCTTTCGCGGGCTTTTCGCGGGCTTTCCCTGCCTTAGAGACCCCCCTAAATCATGAAAAATGCTCAATGTACCCCCCTAAATTCGAAATAATTTTTCAGGAGTCCAAAGAGATGAGAGAAAAAAAAAAAAAACACCCCCTTTTTAAAGAAATCTCCGGGTGAAAAGTTAATACACCTCTTTTTTTACAATTCTCGGGCCGGACTTTGCCTCACGAAAAGTACCCCTTTACCGGACATTTTGGTAACACGCATGTGGTCCGTCCGTTCTCGGAGTGGGGGGGGGGGGGGGCCTTTTCAAAGCGAATGTCGCTCTCGCAGGGGGGCCGTGTATGTACAATTAAAAAGACAAAAAAAAAACATTACATAAAACATAACAATGAAAATGTAAGCATTAAGAACAAAATATTATGACCCCAGATTCATTTTGTTTAAAACAGGAATAAAGCATTGCTCTTTTAGAAAAAAATACTTTAAAATTTGATAGAATGAATATGATTTGCTTCTCAGAATGCATTTAAAATGGTAAGGTTTTTATATATCACGATAGACGATCTGCCTTCAAACAAAATAAATGGCAGACAAATGTATTGGAAAACTGCAATCATGAGTATTATAAGCTTATCAACTCATTTAATAAACACGAGCGCAAGGACTTTCAAATAATCAACCTTAGGCAATTTCATTAGCCTTGTCCGTCACATATATAAGGGAGTTTACAGATAGCACATGGTACAAATGACCCCAAATATCCACAGATCTTTTACACATGGAGAAGTTCCACTTTGAGCATATTAGAATAATAACTGCCAAAGTCCTAGATGTGCTTCATGAATACCTTTTGTTTGCCCTCTTGAAAAGAATACTTCCACCTGCGTATCATAGAATGTACCGTTGGTGCATACATGAATAATGTTACATAACTTTCATGAGCGCATATCCAGTATTCATCTCCTTGGGTTTTACCTTTTTGGTACAAATGACCTTTATCTGCCCATACGCAGATTGTATCTGTAAACCTTCTTATCAGTGGCGTAATGAGCAAAAACGTTTGGGGGAGCTGACAACAAAAATCCGCAGCACCCCACTCTAACATGCAGGCCCCACTGAACGTTTCGCAAAGTGGGGTCTAGGGGCAAAGCCCCGGCAGGGGTCAAGGGGTGGAGCCCCCGAAGCTCAAGGGATATAGGCATCAGTGGCGGATCCAGGAATTTCTTACTGGGGGGGGGGCACAAAATGGCATGGGGTTAAATATATGTAAAACGATGAAGCGACAGAACGAGGCT